TATCACTGAGACACACGTCTTAGTCATCTGTCCTGTTTATTATCTGTCTCTCCCCACTAGTGTACAGACAGTGTCTGGTTTGCCCACTGACAGATTCCTTGATCCTGGCACCCAGTAGACACCAACATTTGTGAAATACAAGAGCTAAACAAGATCTGAAAACTACAACCGTGCCACCATCTTTCACAGTCTTGAAGAAAGACATAATCTTTGCCATTCACTTGATGTGAAGCGTAAAAAAACTAACCGTCTTTCATCTGTGACTAGACCAGACCCCGAGTGGCCTGTCTGCCGCTAACCAGAACAGTGTGACCAGGAGGCGCTAGAGCGACACGCAGCCCTGACAGGGGCAAGGAGCAGGGGCGCAGGCTTACTCGTCGATGGCGATCTCGGAGGGGATCTCCGACCACAGGCGGGCATACTTCACGGGTGTGACCTGCTCCTGGGGGTCGCGGTCCACGTGCATGTGAAGCATGAGGCGGCAGAAGGACGCCCTCAGGTCGTAGGGCAGGTTCTCGTCTGACATGCAGCGCAGGATGAGGTCCACGTCCAGCTGGCCTGAGATCTCATTGATGGCCAGGTACTGGCGGTCCAGACACATCCGAGCAAAGAGGTTCAGCTGATACCTGGAGGAAAGGGGGTCACATGATGCTGACGCCCCGAAACCACGGAAGGTGGATGGCACGCACAGTGGGAGAGTCCAGGTGGCCCCGACGCCCACAGCAGCGACATCTGGCCATCTGAACTTATACAGCTTACACCCCCCCACACTGCTTCCGGTCCTCAGACTCTGGCTTTCGTACCAAGCGGAGAAAGCAACAGGCCAAGCAGTATGGGTCTACCCCACTGTGCTGGAGGGATTAGCAACTGCTCGATTCCATTTTGCTCTTGTTTATCTTATAGAATAAAGGGGAAGAAAATGGTTGTCTATTTCTTCACCTGTGTTTTCATAGAGTTCATCAGAGACCATAGAGCAACTGTAAAAGTTATCGTTCCCTACAAGTCTCATTAGAAAGTTTTAATACTTTTAGGATCTTATCTCGCCTAGGTCTACGCCTTGACTTTCACACACATGTGAAAAACGTGGTGCAAAAAAGTAGGGGCTCCTCCAAATGTGTTTGGCTGTCCTCATCCACTCATACGTGGCCTGTTAGCTTCCGAACTTGACCCGTTCAGGCACTATTTCTCCTTCATTTTTGCAAGAAGATTTGTCAAGCAAGAAAAGAGTAAACATACTTGTTGTGTGACAGAAGAAAGCTGTAGCTTCCACAGTCGCCAATGCGGGATTCTGACTTTAAAGCCCTACCTGTTACAAAGGACCTTGAGTTGAAAACATTCTTAACCTTGCTAGATAGCGGTGAAATGCAAATTAAATTATGAGTCTATGTCACACACGATTGACCAAAATTAAAAGAGCCTCCCGATATTCAGAGTTAGCAAAGACAAAGAGAAGCTAAACTTCTCACGTACAACGGCTGAGAGTGTGCATCAAAATATCCCATTCAGGGCTGCTTAGCAAAGTTTAAAACACGCACACCCTCCAATCCCGTAATTCCTGCTGTGGAATGGCAACACTTACACACGCTTGCACAAATCTGAACGAGGGTGTGCCCTGCCGTGCAAGCCTGTGGACACACTGAGTATCAAAGAGCGTGAAAATGTGGTATTTAGCAACATGGGACACCATTCAGCAGTGTAACGTAAAGAAATGAATCAACCTCCATGACTGTGAAGACATTTCAGAGACAATGCCGAAAAAACAAGGCAGGTTTCAGAACAGAACTGAGGGTATGGTCCCGTTTACACAAAATTGTAAGAGCAGACAAAATATTGTGTATTATTTCTGGACGCACTGAAATGTGGGGAGCACCAGCGCACAGCGGCTGTGGAAGGACACAATGCACGTGTACGAATGGAGGTGAGAAGGGTGTGCGGGAGGAACGGGGCGCTGTCGTGCAAAGCTCTCTTTGTTTTATCTAAACACCGCATTAAGCACCTTTCCATGTTTTGTCCCCTCCCCTTTGCCTGCCTCTTTAGGGGTCTCTATTGGTTCTCTTCCCTTCTTCTCCTTCCCGTCCCTTCCCTTGAGGTGGCAGGGCCAGCAGGCCATAGAGCTGGGACTCTGGGATGGAGGAGGTGACCAGCAAACATGTACATATACCAGGATCACGCCGGCCAGAGGAGGCTGTCGGGGAAAGGAGTTGGCTCTGGGAGGGGTGACGGGTAGCAGGAGCCTATGGCGTTGGAATGGAACTGGAAGTACTGACGTGATCTCATGGTTTTTATTATGTTTGCATAGATCGATATAGAAATAGACGTGCGTGTACAGATAGAGACAGACACACAGATAACATGTATATATGCACACACGTATTTCCTAGCTCTGTCCACTCAGGTTCTAAGAGACTCTTGACTCTATTTTGCAGATAAGGAAACTGGGGCATAGAGAGATCTAGAACTTGATCGAAGTAAAGAAGCTAACAGGCAGAGGTCAGGATTTGAACCCATGCAGCATGACCCCACGGCCTGACTCTTAACTATTAGAAGATGCAGGTATGTGCCAGGCTGCTTGAGGACAACCTGCAGCTCGAGCCGACACAGGCACATGTGCTTCCTTCCACCTGGCACAGCCAGACGTCAACTTACCATCTCCGTATGGGTGAAATCTTACACTAAACTCCTCCCCTCATGGCACACCAGACCACACATCCTTTTGCTAGACCGTCAGACAACATCGTGCAATTCCTTGGAGTGATCAACAGACAAGCAGCCAACTCCCACGGGCCCTCTCAGAGCAGCCACCGGAGCCCCGGTGCCAGCCTCACCGGTAGTAGCTGAGGACGTCCCGGTCTTCCTTCTGCCCTTCCTTCGCGTCCTGCGCCAGCTCCCTGACGCTCTTACTCCGAACCTCTTTGCTGCTGTCCCTCCAGAACAGCCACACCTCCTCCTCGTCTTCCCCGGCCTCCAGGGCGTTCTCGCCAGTAGAAACACCTTCAAATTCAAAACGAGAAAGAACCAGCCTGGAAAATAAAATGAGGAGGGGAGACTCATTCGTTCTGAACTCCTTGCCAGCCTCTGATCACCTACAGCAACAGACTGAAATCAGCTTCACTTTCAGCGTCAAGACACAGGGGGCCGTTTTGCTTCTCCTTGGGGCCGAACCACAGACGGGCCGGACATTAACGTCTTCATATGTTTCAGCTCAGTGGTTCTCACACAGGGCGACTGTGCAATGTCTGCACTGAGTGGGAGACCGTGCTGCTGGCGTCTGGTGGGTAGAAGCCATTGTGAATGTCTTATGATACAGGGGACTGTCCCCATGACAAAGAATTATTTGGCCTCAAACATTGAAATGCCAAGTTTTGGAAACCCTGCATTAATGTATGCATGAGAGACAAAAAAATATCACTAGTATAGGGCATAATTTAGTTTTTGTTTGTTTGTCTTATAAAAACCATTGTCCATATTATTGGTACTATGCTTCTCAGGAAAACTGCTCCCTTCCTAAAAATAAATCACAACTATTAACCAATACTTCTGTGGACCAATAAACACTTTTTAAATAGTAATGATTTAAAAAGCTCTTCCCAACATTGACTTAATATCAACACTGAATGACCGACTTTAAGGCTGAAAATGGACAAGTATACTCAGAGAACGCTGAACTCTTACAATTAAACCAGGTGTGTGTAAGGGCTCCCAGGTGAGTTCCCAGTCCTTTCAAACCAGTGTGTGAAGTGACAACCGGCACGTGGCGGCCACATCGAAGCTAACTAACTTCATTCCCCTACCAGAGGCCTTTGCAAAAGGAAGATCAAATGCCAGCCGCCCGCCTGCAGGCCGAGTCTGAGAAACCAGGGGTTAGGTTTCGTTTCGCACAAGCACAGACATCCGCTGACCCGCACGTCTCGCATCTAAGCCCCGCCCCCTCTTTATGCTAACCCCCCAGCCCCCACTCACTTGGTCTCGATCAGGATGTCGCCGTTGGTCGGGTTCAGCACAGCTTTACATATCAGCTCCTGGGTCACTGGAATCGATTTGTTCATGGACACGCAGAGGTCGGACAGGTAATCTAAGAATCTATCGAGAAAGACGAACCAAACAACACATGTTCTGTACACAGAGCAGAGGTTTGGCTCTCGGAGCCTGACTCTTCCTCAAGTGGACAGACCCAGCGTGCCTCTCACAAAAGAAGTGACATTTTAGGCTCTGGTGCCGGTCTCTACGGCACCATCAGAAACCTGGTCACCAGAGAGAAGGAAGCAAGAAACAATCGAGGAAATGTGAAGAGGTGATGAGGTAAAAATGCAAAGACGGAAAGAGGCTGGAAAGGGCTCTATCAGGAGGACGTGGCGGGATGCGGGGGGACCAGTGTGGCTGGGAGCGCCAGGGCCTGGCTGCCCGGCTGGAACCCCGGTTCTGATGCTTATCCGCTATGCTCCGATGTGCACTGTTATCTGGGGAACTTGCTTAACCTCACGGTGCTGCACCTTTCTCATCTACGGAAATGGACAACGCATAACCTCAGAGGGCTGTTCGGAGGATGAAATGGGGTGATCCCTGTAAAATGCTTACTCAGCTCACCTGTGGCAGGTGAGAACGCTTCGTAACATGTTTTCACGGGTGGGGGTCATTTTTATCACAACACTATGAGCTCTCCAGTGAGACCCTGCGTGATCCCCACAACGTGAACTATTTCACACTTTGTATGAAATGGTGTGGATCTTAATGAGAAGGGGAAGACAAGAGGGGAGGGAGTGGGGGAGGGGAGAGCTGTGAGACAGAAAAGATGGAATTCTCTCTACATATAATAATGCATGATAAAAACACTCAAGGAACACCTAAGTTTGCAAACGACTTTACTGATGGCAAACGTCTAACTGGTAATTGAGGGTGCGAAAAATTAAATGAGGGGCCAAGAGTAACTGTCACTTACTGGACAGCTAGCGACTTGGTGCCAGGCCCTTCACACACTGACCCTCGTTTAGTTTTTGCAACTATCCATCTAGCAGGTGAGGAAACTGAAGCCCCGAGCTAAGGCCAGGCCAGCCAGCTGGCAGACGGCAGAGCTGGGTTGGCCGGTTCCCATCCCAGTACCACCTTCTTTCGGCAACTTGTCAAAGGCCCTCCTGACAGCGGCCCAGTCAAAACAGGTCCCCAAACAAAAGGACTGGGGAAAGCACAGGACCCCGCGCACCTGCCCGACTCACAGACGCCTGCTGCGACCCCAATCCCCGCTCACCTGGGCTCCCGGTTCTTGCGCACCAGGCTGACGAATGTGTCGATCTCGGCCGCGGTGATGTGCTTCTCCAGGAGCTTGCGGTTGTTGTGCAGCAGCGCAGTGATGGTGTCTTCGGCCAGCACGTCGTAGCCAATCTGCTTTTGCATGAAGCCGAACTGCTTGGCTATGTACTCCTTGGAGGGACAGAGGAGAGGTCAGTGGGGGCGCCGGCAAGGAGGCAAGTGGCAGCATCCGGCCGCCGGGAATCCCGCCCTGAGGGACCTCACGGGGACATCCTCCCCCAGCCCTCCCCAGTCCTCAGCCTGCCACACAAACGTTAATTCAGCAAAACGTCCCTTTCATTAAGTGTACAGTATAATACATTTTATCATCGTGACATTTTTCTAAAAGGTCAGAAGCTGCTTTTCGGCTCTGGTGCTACTCCTAACGCAAGAGGGCTCGGCTGTGGCTCCCTGCTCCGTAATGCTGAATCAACACAGGTTTTTAGGACCACGGTACCAGTTTCATTTCCTTTATCTGGGGTGAAAATACGTTTTTAAAGCCGACGGGTAGCAGAAGTTAGGAACATGTAAGCCAGCCAATCACATTCACAGAACGTATGACAATGTCTCTGGCTTCTCTCTTTGGGGATCGGACTTCACATTCCACAGAAATGCTTGAGAACTCAAGGAAGCCTCTTATGAATATTAGTTTCCATGCAAAGACATTTTCCCTGACCAAAATAGATGATTTGCTTGCTCAAACTTCAAGTGGATCTTTTATTATTATTATAATTCCCAAATCCTGGAAACTACTCAGGACGAACATGGCGGACAGGGGCCACTTTTCAGCCCACACTCTATGAGGATGCAGGTTTGAGGACTCATCAGCCTTCATGCAGGTAGCGCTGGGTCCACAGCCAACCAGGCCAAGACATCAGTGCGTCAAGAGGGACGGGCTTGTCTCCTCAGGTACAAGCAAACTGTCCGAGAGCACGTGACAGTCGGAGGCGGGAGAGAGGAACAGAATAAAGTCTCTCAGGCACCACTGGGGATGATGTCAGGGCACGGAGGGTGGGCTTAAAGCAACCACGGCGCCCCACACAACCTGTGCAGACCAACGGCCGTAGCATCAGAGGTATGCGATGCTTCATATTGAAACCATAGCAAAGCTGAGGGCTTAGAAACACTTGCTAACAAGGTTATATCTGATGCTTTAGAGCTTTAAGATCAATACTACCTTTATGACGACAAAACAAACTAACTACACAGTTGAAATGTAAAAGTCAGCTCCCTTGGTAGTCAAAAGCGGAAACACAAAAGTCTTTGGAACAGCAGGGACTGGAGTCAAAGTGACACTGAGCACCGATCCGGGCGCCTGCCCCCTTATCTGCGGTTTTGTTTTCCACAGTTTCAGTTGCCTGTGGTCAACTGCAGCCGGAAAATATTAAGTGGCGAATTCCAGAAATAAACAATTCATAAGTTTTAAATTGTGCATGTTTCTGAGCAGCAAGATGAAATCTCGTGCCGTTCCACTCCGGACGTGATGCGTCCATTTGTCCGGCGTGTTCACCCTGTATATGCTCCCTGCCCGTTAGTCACTCAGTAGCTGGCTCCGTTATCAGATCGGTTATTAGAGAGCAAAACCACGGTCACATGACTTTTATTACAGTACAGTGCATAATTGTTCTAGTTTATTGTTAGTCATTATTGTTAATCTCTTACTGTATCTAATTTATAAAGTAAATTTTACCAATGGTGTGTATGTATAGGGAAAAACATTGTGTGTGTGTGTGTGTGTGTGTGTGTGTGTGTGTATGGCTCGGTACTATCTGTGGTGTTAGGCATCCACTGGGGATCTTGGACTGTGCCCCCGGCAGATAAGAGGGGGCAGATGCACTTTATGCAGCACAGGATTCCTCAGCTTCAGCACCATCCACTGTCTGGGCTGGAAAACTCTTTGTTGCAGGGCCATCCTGTGCATTGCTGGATGTTTAATAGCATCCCTGCCCTCTGCCCACTAGATGTCACTTGTGACACTCAAAAGAGTCTCTGGACATTGCCCAGTGTCCCCTGGGCAACACTCTCAAAATGTTTGGAAGCTCCAAAGATGTTAGAATATTTATTTCATGGGGAGAAAAAATAATTTTACATATATATATATATATATATATATGTTATCTATGTCATGACTATATATATATATATATATAGTCATGACATAGATAATGACTTAGAATATCATAAAACATGAGTCAGAACCAAAACAAAGAGAAGTTTGCAGCAGAGATGGAGGCCATAGAAGAGGCATGAAGAAAAGACTCCACTCTGTCTTCAATATAAACACATGGAATCACGTCCCTAAGCCTTAAGGGAATGCACCATAAGAAACACTATAAATGTAACAGCAATGTCAATGTAAAGAAGTCTCATTGCAAGGAGGCTGCAGAAGGGAATTCTCGGGTATCTCTCTTAAGGACTCGGTAATACATCTTCCCGGGCTTGCAAAACCACCATTTCCTTTCCAAGAGCCAACTTAACAATGAACTCTTCTCTAGCCAGTAACTAAATGCACATGTGACAATTAAGACTCATGAGGAAAGTGTAAGAACCTCAGGGAGGAAACCGCCAGTCGTGTCCCATGGACCCTGAACCCCACCCTGACCTGGTTCTTCCTGTAGTCCTGCTGCGAGTGCCTCAGGACCCGGTAGCAGAGCCGGCAGATGTGTCTGAACGGGGCGTGCCGTTGGTCCCCAAGCTCCTCTAGCCGCAGCATTGGGCCGTCACCACAGTCCGTGAACGGGGCCTGTAACAGCTTGAAGATCTGGCGGCGACAAGGAAGAGTAAAAGCTGTCATCACCTAGTTTAACGGCTAACGCTCCATCTGCAAGTAATGTCATCTCACAGCTGTCTGGACTACACAGGAGGGCTGCCTGTCCAAACACATCCATAACCTCAGGCCTGCCTCTGCCCCATCCCCTGGGGCTGGCTCCTCCCTGCAGTCAATCCACCTGGACTTCACCGGTCCTCAAGCCCTGGAGAGAGCAGTGGTTCGAGCCATGGTTGGAGCAGAGGAATCAGGAGGATCTAGGCTGAGGTCACACACCTTTCTTACTTCCTAGCGGACTGGATCAGTCAAGGTAGCCTCAGTGTTCTTGCCGGTAAAATGGAAGAATAGAACATCTAGCTCCCAAGGGTGTCGTAAGGACAAAAGGAGAGAATAACTGTCAGTTGCATAAGCACAGCGCTCAGTGAAGGCTCCTGCCACTGAGTCAGCCCACTGGTCCCTTGCGGACTTGCTGTGGTGGCAACAAGCATGGGGTGTCTAACTTGGGGGTCAGCACATGGAACAGCTGGACACCATCCATTCTCGGGCTGGAAACCTTGTTGAAACACGATGGAGTGTTACTAAGCTTCGTCTATCACAGGCTGACAGGAGGAAGGATTCTCAAAGTTCGAGTTCCAATGGAGAACTGTGGGACTTGTAAGGAGCGTTTTCCTTTCGGCTTCAGGGGTCAGGAATTTCCAAGCCACGCTGGCGGCCCCGTCTCCAGCAGCTTCAGAAAACTACAGGCTGTGTGTTTCTGTGCACCTCATCCACCCCAGGTTTGTCACTGTCTTCCAACTTAACTTCACACCAGCTGATTTAAATTTATACCAGATAACACCATCTCTATATTTCCGTAAGCCATTACTCATTCTTCACGGTGAGATTTATGGTGGCTTGCAGGGGTCCTGTCAGGAAGTTGGTTTCTAGTGCTTGATAGGACCAACGTCATCTTAAGAAGGAAGCTACTCTGGTGACCACCAGTTTCCCTCAGCGGGGAGTGGGCCTGTATCCCTGAAAGGGATGTTCTCACACAGGTAAATAGGCTCATTAAGTTGTTTGCTGCTTTGGGATTTACAGTTCTTAACAAGCACATGCCACTTGGCTACAAGCCACCTGAGCTCCTGGAGCCTGTAGGTATCAGGCCCCCTCCCCTTTCGGAGACAGAGATCACCCAAGACTCTGCTTTTGCCATAAGATCCCTTAAACAACTCTTTAATTCTGCAATGGTTAGCCTCTTTCGTTAGGCTCTCAGCCCCATCCTCCTTTGGAGGTTGGTTCCAGTACCAACAGGTCCCCGTAAGAACCTATATGGCCTGAATTCATCCATACTCCATATCTCCTAAACCAGCAGTTCTCAACCTTTCACAGGGGTTGCCTAAGACCACCGGAAAACACTTATTTTTGATGGTCTTAGGAACTGAGACACCGCTCTTCTATCCGTCTCCAGGCCCACATGCTGATACGCCCACATACAAGTACCCGGCGACCCGTGAAAGGGTCGTTCGACCCCCAAAGGGGTCGCGACCCACAAGTTGAGAACCACTGTCCTAAACATATAATTTGTAAGGACACAGAGCCCTTGATACGATTTTTGAGGAAAATCAAGTTATCAAATGAACTCTTGTTGGAGTTCCTAATAGGTAAATTCTCAACAAGTGTGTTTTAAATTGAACTGAGCTATCGAGCCATGAAGAGACGGGGAGGAAACGTAAACGCGTATGACTAAGTGAAAGAAGCCAATCTGAAGAGGCTGCAGACTGTGCGATTCCAACTAGATGACGCTGTGGAAAAGGCAGAACTATGGAGACAGTAAAAAGATCAGGGTTTGTCGGGAGGTGTGAGGAGGAGGGGTGAATATGCAGAGCAGCGAGGATGTTTAGGAAGTGGGACTGCTCTGTGTGACGCTGTGATGGTGGCTCCATGTCATTATACACGTGTCCAAGCCCAGAGAACGTGCACCACCAAGAGTGAGCCATCATGTGGACTATGGACTCTGGGGGATATGTCAGTGGAGGTTCATCCACTGTTACAAAGGTGCCACCTGGTGGGAGGTTCACAGTGGGGGAGGCTGTGCACGTCTGAGCGTGTGGGGTATATGTGAACTCTGTACTTTCACTATTGCTGTGAACTGACAGCTGCTCCAAAAAATAAAATCTGTTTTTTTTTTTATGTCAATCGATGAAGCCTTCCGAGGGCAGCCATCGCATCCCTCTTCTAAGAGCGGTGAGCCCGCCGATTTCTTACCAACCCAGCACCTGGCACCCACCTGCTTGAGAATATTCTGCTCTCTCATCAGCTTCTGCCGCTCTCTGTTGGGCTTGGAGAAGACCACTTCAAGGACATCTTGACCGGAATTAGTTCCACCAGTGACAAAGTAAACCAGGTCTTCCAGCAGCTTGGTGACCGACCTTAGGGAGAAAGAAGTTGTTAGAGAGGGGACCCCTTTCACGTTCCACAAGCCGTAAGCTTCACCTTGGAAGCCTCGGGCCTAAGGAACCAGTGAAACAAAAGCAGACCCATTCCTCCCGTTTCCTTGAAATTGACAGCCGAGGGCCATTACCAAACAGAGTGAAACACAGACAGCACATTTTTGCCCACAAAGGGATGATCACCTTCACAAAACATGAGCCATCGGACATCACCTCGACCCCTGACATTTAGTAAGGGAGGCGTTCCAGGGACCGAGTGGGACACAGAGAAAGAGAGAGATCTTTACAACTTCAGAGACTTTCAAAAAAGAAAGCCATTTCTTGGAAACCACAGGCTGATCCCCCCCACGAGTGGGACCTGCCGCTGCCACACCCAGCTGCCCGAGCATCCTCTCCCTCTCTGGAAGGGGCCTGAAAATCCCCAGGCGTGGGCTGAGCCGCCTGCTCCTCGCAGGACACTCACCTCCTTTCATTCTGGGTGATGGTGCCCTTTTCCAGCTTCCCTGCGATGGAGCCCAGCACCTTGCTGGCGTCGTTGGCGAAGTCCAGGTCCCGCACCTCTGCGGGGGAGACAGGGACGATGGCGAACGCCTCCTTGTCCTCCTTCACGGGAGAGGTGCCAATCTGAAATGCAAGGTGGCCTTTGAGGGACCGTCTAGGATTGAGAGCGTGAGACGTCAAACACTGTCTGTGGGGCTTTTGGCAAGGCAAAGAGCTTGCAGTTCAAATTAACTAGATATAGGAAAACATCTGGAAGAAAGTACCCCACATCGTGAATGGTTGTCACCTCTGGAGACTGGGATTGTGGGAAGTGAGACAGCAAATGGGGCACTATTATAACGTGCAGCTTCATTTATTACAGGTGAGACTTATAATGCAGTCATGTTTATAAAATACACAGGGAAAAGCAAATATGTAAAATAATGCTTGACTTTAAGTCACAGTATTACAAGGATGGACTGTACCATTCTTTCAACTTTTCTATATACCTAAAAAAGTTCATAAAGTCAAAGAAAAATTCCAGTAACTTCTCCTATCACCCCCGCCCCCACCCAAAAAAATTGTGTAAAGGCATCATTTCATTTTTTAAAAAGAAAACCCCTAAGTTTGTGTACTTATGCTCTGTGATCCTGGAGAAGGCGAGGAAGGAGAAGTGGGCTTCAGAAAGAGAAATTAAAGGGGTTGGGAGAACTTTTGAGACATAAAAATAGTGTACATTTGAGTACACAGAAAAGTAAAAAAAATAATCAAGACTGGGGAGAAATCAACCAGTACTTGATGGACCTCAAGGCCCATGCAAACATTCCTCCAGGCAAAGTCACCCTTCAGACAGACGTGAAACCCAGACCATTGCTCAACCCTTAGGGCAGGAGTCGTGGAAGAAAATAAAAGGTTCTGGTCATTTCGAAAGCCTGGGCTTGCTTTAGCCGGGTCCCTTGGAGAGAATTCTTTGATCACATTGGAGTTTGTCCACGACCACACTCTTGCCAAAGCAACACAACTGCACAGCCTCACACTCCCCCATGTCCTCAAAGGAGCCCTTTCATTAGGAGCAGGAGGCCGGGGGGAGGGCGCCGGTTCCGGGACTTGCCTTCAGCATCACGGGTTTTTCTTCTTCCTTGTCAATGGGGATGTTTGTGCTATGGACCCACGTATTAGTACACAGGTGTCTAAGCCGGACATAGGAGTTTCTAGAGGGGGAACAAAAGAAGCCTTTAGGACCAGAATATTTGCGTTTTCTATTGCCACCGGCCTACACTATATTCTATCAAAATAAAAAAGGATACCCACATGGTTTCCTGCTAGATGCATTACACAATATGAATGTAAGAGCCAATGGCTCTGGTCCAAGATTCTTTCTGATGTATTTACAATAGCAAATCATTCGCAGTGAAGCTCACAGGATTGATGGGCTGTATTTGTACCTAACACATTGTGGACCGGAGACGCAGATTTGTGTCTACACATTACAGCCGTGCAAGACGAATGGCGCAAATCTGCGTTTTTATCACGTGCTTGGTTTCCATGCACTATACACTTAACTACGCAATACATGGAGCCTTTCTCTGAAGGGTCCTGCTGACGAATGTTTATAGAAACATCACCTCACTCCAAGTTAAAATGATCTGTGATAAATGCAGGGAACAAACAGCTCTGTATTTTCCTCTGTTGCTCTGCTCTACATTTAGTCAGCATTCAGATTACAATCACTTCACACCCATGACGGAAAGACGTAGTTCTTACGGGAAAAAAAATCTTACAAAAGGTGAAATTTCAGCGGAATTGTTGGCGGACACATTATCTGATGTCCCTGACAACGCTGATAGTGACAGTGAAAATGACAGTGACTCTTCTGTTATTGGAAATAGGCAAAACAAAATTGTGCACCCTTTACCGAGTTACAGTGACAGTGAACAAAGCGCAAACAAAAGTGACGATGACTATGACACACTAGATTCGGCGGTTTCCATGTGGGTAAAAACAGATAAAACACCAAATTTAAGGCTATTACTGGAAACCCAAGGGTGAAACAAATTCCCTCTGACCCGACAAAAGTATCACAAGTAACAGGACCCTTTCTTGGAGACAGATTCTTTGATATATTGTGTGAGGGAACGAATCTATATTTCTTACAAAATCAGGAAAAGTATGTTACTGGTTCTAAGGGGTTGAAATGGTCAGATGTCATTGTAGCAGAAATGAAAGAAAATTTTTCAATAATCATTCTAATGGGGCAAGTCAGGAAAGGTAAACTAAAGGATTATTGGTCTACGGATCCATTTTTAGATACTCCGATTTTCAGGAAACTTATGATCTGTAATAGATTTGAACAAATTTGGTGGTGTTCACATTTCAACAACAATGAACTTCTGCAACAATCAGGCTTTTCAAAATTCAACCCTTACTGGATTTTTTCCTTGAAAGATTTCAGACTATTTATAAGCCAAATCAACAACTTGCCTTAGATAACGCAATGATTCCTTGGAGGGGTAGGCTTCGTATACGAACATATAACCCGGGGAAACTTATAAAGTATGGCCTACTTGTTTGTACATTCACTGAAAGCATCTCAGGCTATATCTTGAATTTAGAAATTTATGCTGAAGGAAGAAAATTACAGGAAACTATTTTCACACGTTTGGAACCTTATCTGGATCAAAATTACCATGTCTATCAAGACAACTATTACAATCATGTGAAAATTGCTGGAACTCTCAAAACAAGTTAGAGCACGTGGAACAATCCGAGTGAACAGGGGTCTTCCTCCAGAAATAAAAACAAATCAGTCTCTGAAACGTCGCAAAACCACATTCAGGAGAAAGGGTGAAATTCTTCTTCAATCCTGGAGGGATACTCATGTTGTCAACATGATTTCCACAATTCAAGATTCATCAATGGCTGATGTTCCACGGAGAAATGAAGAAGAAAAAGCCCATTTGTATTTTTCAGTATAATATGTTCATGAAGGGTGTTGATAGGGCAGATCAGTACTTGTCTTACTATTCTCTCTTGAGAAAAACAGTGAAGTGGCCAAAGAAAGTTGCATTTTGGCTTATAAATTGTGCATTTTCCAATTCTTTTCGAATCTATCAAAAACTAAACCCTACATCAAAAGTGAGATACAAAAAAATTCTGATACAAGTGGCAAAAGACTGGGCTACAGATAAGATGGACACAGACTCAGACACAGACGCACACGCAGCACGCCCAGGAACATCAACCCAAACCCCTGGTGTGTCTCATGAGGACCCCCCTGGGAGACTTTCGGGCGACACGCACAAACATGTGCTAGAGAAAATTGTTGGAAGTGAACAGGGTAAAAGAAAATATCCTGCTAGGAGGTGCCATGTTTGCGCTGCCCACAAAAAAAGAAGTGAAACTCGGTACATCTGCAAGTTCTGCTTAGTGCCACTCCACAAGGGGGAATGTTTCCAGAGGTATCACACCCTCAAAGCGCTATTAGGGTCTTTGGTGACTATTTCCTGAAAATTTCAGTTCACAAAAATAGTTAGTGAATTTGTTATAAATTTTAAAGAATACAGTATAAAAGTTGATTTAAATGGTTTAAACCCCGGGAACATGCATTTAAACAATTTACAATAAATGCACTGTCCACAATGTGTTAAGATTATATCCCATGAATGAAGATCTCCAAATGGAGCATGAGACAGAAGAACAAGAAGTATTGACTGAGTATATATTAGTGCTCATGGGAGAGATGATTAAGCAATAACTAAAATTTTCATATGGATCAATAAAGCAAAAAGTAAAATCATAAAATTCCTGGGGGGAAAAAAAACATGCGTAAATATTTAATCATCTTGTGGTAGAGAAAGCCTTTTGAAGAGTGAAACAAAATACAAGATCCCTAAATTTTAAAAGTAGATGATGTATAAATCTTATTACAAAGTTTATATTTTATATCTTCTGTACAGCAAACAAAAAACTATGGACAAAGTTGAACCAAAAATGACCAGCTGGGAAAATAAGAGTAACAGATCTCATAAAAAGGTTGTTAATCCCCATATGGACAAGGATACAGTCCAGGGATTTAATAAAGCAATGTAAACGGCCAGTACACTGGGAAGTATGCATTCAGCCTCCTTTGGATACAATTTACACAAATCAGAACAATATAACACTGCATTGTATCATATACCAAAGGTCTTCCAGAGGGATATAACCTAAGTGTCCACAACAGCTCAGAGACATGAGTTCTGCACACTTGCGGTGAGAATGTGAACAGGTCAAACTCTGGAAGGGAGTCTGGTACTTTGGGTAACTGCTAAAATGCACCTATCTTTTTACCCAGCAATCCCATTTTTAGATTTTTTTTTCCATTAAGAGGTAACAGCACAGATACAAACTGAGGCTTAAAGATGTTCAACAAAGCACAGTTTACAGTAGTAAAAAAATGATAATCCAATGTCTCAATAGTGGACTAATGATAGTACATACAGAATACTACGGTTATTCAAAATGATGACAGTTGATATTCATTTACTTAGAAATACGTACAGAACATATTGCTCAGTGAAAAATTATTAAAAATAGTTTATGATCCTATTTATGATCAATTATATACAGGTTATCTGTGTGTTCTGAGACCTGTCTGAAACTACATGAACCAAAACGTTGACAGTGGTGATCTCTGAGTGATTGAATTTTATGTGATTTTTACTTGTTTCTTTGCTCTCCATGGTGTTTTAAAACATTTTTGTTGTTTCCTTTTATAGGGACCAGGGATGGTGAGATGATGTTTTTCAATTCTGCTTTCCTTTCAAAGAAGCAGTAGAAAGAACAGCATAATTCTTGTTAATTAGGAATCTACCTTCCCATTAGTGAGACAAGGGGAACGCACTCCAAGCAATAGCAAGAAACAGAAAATGCACATTAAAAAGCTTTCAGTTGGAAGACAGTCAAGGTAAGTATTGAAGGGCTTTTGGGGAGGGGATCCAGGCGGCTTCAGAGTCACAGAAGTTTCCTGTTACAGAAAACTTGAGTTGGAACTTTAAACATTGCGGGGCTGGGGCAGACAGGAGAGCTCAGAAGTCATTTACATGAAGAGGAATTTAGAGCAATGGCGTCAAACCAGGCATATCTCATCAGTAGATCCTCTGCCTTCTCCCTTCCTTCACTGTAACCATCCTGACCATGACAAGTGAGGGCAACCATAGTGACACTTCCTTTCACTAGCATGAATATACATTAAACAACATAAGGACCCTGAGAGATGTGCAATTTTTTTCTTCTGAGTGACTTGGACTCACCTTCTTATTTTCGAAGTATAACCAAGGCTTGGAGCTTAGCCTTTAATTGGATGACTACATTCTATAGAGTTCGACATCCAAATTACATTTAGGCACAAAGGGCGCTGTGTCAATTCATCTGAAAGCCCACTCCCAAGGCTTAACTCAAAAGCCACGCTGCCAAAGGATTGCGGGCAACATTTCAGGGACATTCATATATCTACTCCAGGCTTTTGGATCTTTAAACAAAATTTAGCATAATGTTGAGATGGAGGGAAATGAGTGAAGTGCTGTCCTAACCAAGGACCTTTATGACTCTGCAAGATGAATGCGTAAGAGGTCCGTTCACATCTAGCTCTGAGCTTGGTGGTCAAGGGCAAGAATGGACCAAAATTTACAAAGCTAAGACCCAGTCCAAGATCCTAACTGGTAGTGAACACGTGGCAGGCCATGCCACACTTTTTCCATGGTGAACACAAGGCATCCCCTTGCTAGTGAGTGTAGAATCAGCCTACCTATGAACAACCGCCCACAAGAAAGTTTTCAACAAAGAAAACGTAAGGAATGGAGGGTCTACAGGTGCAGGGCTCTCGAACCAGCCAAAGCTGCTTGGCCAGATGACCTGGAAGCTTAAACTTCCCCTCTGCACAGGATCATGGGGGTTTCCAACCCTTAGGCAACATGGCCCGCTAGTGCCTCACTCTTTACCACGGGACGGCCGTGAGGCATCTTCTGATGGAACCATGTGACATTTTAAATCACAAGGTTCTGTGCTTTGTTGTCCCAAACAAACTAAAACATTTAGCCTATCCTATAAATGTCATTCCCTTGTCTTCTGGAAACCTAAGAAAATTCATTAAATTTCTTCCAGACGAGAGTGCACACCATCTGGAAAATTATTTCAACTGAAATGCCAGTGGGTTCTGCAGACCTGCAGCTACCTGGGCAACAAGCAGGCAGTCAATCTGCTCTACTACACACTGTTAACAAACGATCTCGAAATGGATCAAAGTGTGAAAAGCAAAACTAAAACACTCAGAAGAAAACGTGAGCATAAGACTTTGTGACCTTGCATTAGGCAGTGGGTTACTTCAGTTAAGAAACCAAAAGCATAAGCAATCAAAGAAAACAATAAATAAATTGGACATTGACAAATGAAAAACTTTTGTGCTTCAAGAAAGTAAAAAGACCGTCTACAGAACAGGCGACTGCATTTGTATCTAGAACAAAGAACACTTAAAAGTCAATTGAAAAAAAAAGACAAATAACTGAGTTATGTAAATGGGCAAAAATAATGGGTGAAAGAGCTGACGAGATATTTCTCCAGAGCCGATATACAAATGCAGGAAAAGATGGTAGGCATCATTAGTCAGCAGAGAAATGCAAATCAAAACCACGAGATACCACCTCACATTTAACTAGGATGGCTCAAAAACAAACAATGAGAGAAAGCAAAACAATAAGTTCTGGAGAGAAAAGTAGAGAAACTGGAACCCTCATGTACAGCTGGTGGGGATATAAAATGGTGCCTCCACATTGAACAACCGTCTGGCAGTTAGTTCCTCAAAAGGTTAGACCCCGAGTTACCTGGGACCCAGTCCTTCCACTCCGAGGTACAGACGCAAGAGAAAGAAAACAGATGTCTACACAAACATGCGTCCATGAATGTTCACAGCAGCCCAAGGGTCAAACAGCCCCAACAGCCATCAACTAGTAAGTGGATAAATACAATGTGGTATAACCACATAATGGAGTATTATTCGGCGATTAACAAAATGAAGCACTGACACACGCTACGACATGGATGAGGCTTAAAACCACCAAGTGAAAGGAGCCAGTCACAAAAGACCACGTGTGATTCTGTTAAGTGAAACATCCAAGCGAGGCGCGCAGCAGAGACAGGAAGTAGATGGGTCTGAGGAGGGAGGTGGGGCTTTGAGGAAATGAGAATGACTGTTAACGGGTTACAGTGTTCCCTGTGGGGGGATGAAACTGCTCTAAAATCGATTGTGGTAATGACTGCTCAGCTCTGCTCATCTACTAAAAACCCCTGAAATCAGCACTTTAGTAGGCGCAATGTACAGTATTCGTATAAACTCTCTCTCGCTAAGTCTGTTATTTAAAAGGCACGCCAAGGCAGGGCAAACCTGGAGTGTGCACAGGTGTGCACACAGCTGGGGTTTCCTAGAACATCTCTAGCTTTCCCCAAACTTTCAAGGGGCTCCTGACCCAGCAGAGCGTAACAGCAGCAGTCAGTTTACTGAATGGCAACGGAAGGCCTTGCTGCGTGTAAGGCTCCCCTCTATGTGGACACTGCCCCATGTGTGTCACGCGGGGGGACAGGAACAGCGGCCAGCACAAGAGAAGGCTCTTCTCTGATTCTGACGGCGCCCAAGCTGCAGGTACCAGTTTCACAGCCGGGCTCAGGCTGAGCCGCAATGATACACGTGAATAACGAAATGCGAAGCAATACTGAGAGACGGGGCCGTGTGGACAACCTCCAAACGCAGGTGAGAGCGGCCCAAACCAGCACTCCGGAAGAGTCAGAACTGCCTGAACAAGCCTATTTGTCTGAAACATTTAAGATTTGGGGCTCGGCAATGTGACCTGATGACTTGTGATCAGTGGCTTAAATTCTCTGAGCCTCAGTTTCTAAGAAGGGGCCAGTGATGATACTCACCTGACAGAGGTTGCTGTGAAGATGAAATGACAGGACACGAGTAAAGCACTCAGCATTGTACACGGCACACAGTCAGCACTTAATAAATGTGAGCCACTCTCAGTAACGCTGCTATTTTGTTTGCCAGCGTGAGCTTTGTCCCACCTCTAGTCTGGTTATTCCCGCCCCCACAAAGGCATTCTTATGCAACAAAACTGAGTTAAATTTCATAAAATAATCAAAGAAGATTGGTCTGACTTCCCAATACTTCAAATGAAATTTACTTTGTATTCAGTGAATTTCAAGTACTCCATTTTCTAGAATTTCTTTTCAAGTGTTTACTCAATTGATCAGGCGATTGCTCAAGGTTTAGGAAGAAGGAAGAAAGGAAACTAGAAATATTCAGCGACTTGAGCTTAAGGTTTGGCTTGCTTACCTAAAAACAGCACTTCTTATCCAACCACTGAGAACTTGCAATTGATGAGACCTCCACCCCTGCCCCCACCCCCACCCCACAAAAAAAAACCCAGACGCCCTTTCCAATAGGCAGCCGGAACAAACCCTGTATAAAAACTTCCAGGAAGGCCCTGATGACTTGGGTTCCCAGACGCCCAGCCAGGCCACACACACCAAGCCTGACTCACCTGGGCTGACCTGCCCGGAATCATACCTGGGGACAAGGCTATCACCTCCGCGGAGAGTGGTGGGGTCCAGCTCGAAAATGGAGGAGATGTCGCTGCCTTCGGGGACCGAGACCAGGGAGTACACCATCTTTTCCTGGACGTTGCGCAACCTGCTTCGAGAGGCGTCCTGATCCGGGTCCACCTGAGGAGGAAAGGTCACCGGGTCAAGGACGCTGTGTGCGAGAACCTGCACTCACTAGGGCCACTGCACAGTCCACAGGCCGGGGGAGAAACAGGGGTGTCAGCAGTCGGCGGGAAAGCACCGGTTTCAGGGCAATCACAAGAGTCTCACCGGCCATCCACACCAGAAATAGGTACCCTCCACCTTCTTGTGGTGCGATACAAATGCATAAACGATGGGGTTCCAGTAACAGAGGTCTATGGGAGAAGGCGCTGGGGACAGAGCTCCACAGAGCCGCAGCCAACAGCGGCAGTTGCGGGAGGAGAAGCACTCAGAGAAAGCCCTCCTGCGGATGTGTTATGGGTGGTGACCTACAGCGAAACGGTCTGGCCGTCACAGGCCACCGCTACTCCCCAGGAGGAAACATAAAGCAGCAGCCTGGATCCAAGTGTTGGTGAGCAGTGAATCCCGTGTGGCCAAGGGGAATGAATGTCTGAAAGTCAGACTAGCCCTGGAAAAAACGTTCATCGTTAATCAAGCAGGGCTGCTGCCAACAGGCAGGAAAAGGGGGCTCTCCTGCTGCCTTGGGGGCCTGGCTGGGGCTGCAGGAAAGCTTCCGTGAAGGCTGAAGAATAATGATGAAAGCGTCCCTGAGAAACTAAAGACACAGTCTGGGCGCCAGTGCCCACCTGCCCGAGGCCATCTAAGCAGGTGCCCAGAGCGGTGCCCGCTCCGACCTGTGTCATGAGCTCCCTCCCGGCGCTGGGACTACACAGGCCCATTTTCCATGTTTATCACCCTGCAGGATGACGGCATCCGCCTGTGTCTACCGGGAAAACCACCTTTTCCTTGTCACTAGGCTGTTTCCCTCGGGCTGAGGCACAGCCTCCTTTCCAGATGGGGAGTGGAGAAAGGAAATGAACAGTCAAAGCAGAGCGCACGGGGGAACTGATGTCCAAGGGGCCTGAGGTCGAGGGCTGCGGGCAACAGTCTGCTTTAGCAGTTCCTCTGCAGCCCCGACTGTGTAACAAAGAAAAAAAGGAAAAGAAAAGCTTCTTTTATACCCCAGACCTCTGTCTCCTCTCTCTGCAGCGCCCGCCTCTAAAACCACGTGGCTCTCCCCAGACAACCTCCACTCTTATTCCACGTCCACGAGAGTGAGAATCGCCTGGAGGGCCCACAACATCCCTACAAGCTCAGCTCGGGAGGAAGAACTTGCACAGACTCCTCTTCTAACGGCTGTGACCTGCACAGTGTCCCACACGCCACACTCAAGAGAAACCCTCCCCGAAGCTGGTGGGGCCACGGGGCCACTGCAGGCTGACGATGAAACCTGAGACCTGCAGGAGTCTAGAGAAAAACGAAAACGGCATTAAGGTCACTGTGTCTGGAAACGAGGCTGGCAGACGGCGTCCCCACACCCTGTCGAGTGCAGTCGGCGCTTGCCACCTAGTGGGAGGGGAGGCACATGGGCAAAGGCCATCAGACGGGAGCCAGCCTCGGCGTCTCCGTTTTCTCCCCTTGGCAGGGAGCACGTGGCTCTGGGTGCCTCTGCGTTCAGAAGGACGAGAGCGAGAAAGCTGGGTGGGGGTCGCAGGCAGAGCCCACAGGCCCTGCTGCCGGTCTCGGGAGAGGTGAAGCCGCGAGCAGAGCCGAACAGGGAGGTTTCCTCTCCCAGACAGATGCCCTAGGGCTTCTCCGGCCAAGAGGAGCGTGCTGGGGGCCAGACCCTCCCAATGCGGATACCTGCCCGCACTGCTGGCCTCGTGGTGCAGGGTGTGCCCCCCACAGACCCCTCCTCCACATGAGGGCCACCACCCAAGCCACAGCCAGAGTAGCCGGAGCAACACAGTCAGACCTGCCCCCACGTTGGCACCCCTGCCACCCTGGCACAGAGAAGCATGACAGCGTAGAAAGATGATGGAGCTCCGAGAGGCCCCGAGACATGGTGCGAGTCGGGACCACTCTCTGCTTTCTCGTTTGTCAAACGAAGATCAGGAGACCTTAAGTCATTAAGTCATTTCGGGGAGCTAACGTACAACCCAGATGAACTGGTGACATCAGGGCACTGGCATGCCAATGATCCTGTGCAACTTCTAAACGTGCCACTTACTGAGCACCTACTATGGGCCACTTCATCTGCACCTACTATGGGACATTTCATTTGCACCTACTAGGGGTCACTTCTTCCGCACATCTCACTTTGTCCTTTACAGCAAGAGCACCCACCACGTCTACAGATGAGGGCATGGAGGCTCAGAGAGGGACTGTAGCTTGGCCGGAGTCACACAGCTCATGAGTAGGGGGCGCCCGCTCTTTGAACCCAGTCTGTCTGCTCCCCGCCCTGCTGCTGGTCGCTGTTCTTCCTCCTGCACTAAGAATACCGGCCTTTTCCTCACACACCGACCACTTCACACTCGCTCCCTAGAGCGCAAGGTTCACTCAAACATCAGCTCTCACTGCAAGACGTCACGGCTCTTCTTCAGAGTGACCTCAGAGGGGACACTTACTCTGTCACCTCAGAAGGCAGCAGTAAGACCATGGATGCACGTCACACAAACGCAATTCTTTCTCTCACAATAAAGAAGGTGCAAGGATGACAACTGCCTTAGGAAAAACAACGCCCTGGCCCATCCACATCCAGGAGTGCTGAGCACAACAAACCCTCTGCGGAGACGCATCAAGACCGCCTCGCTCATGGGCAGAAAGAGGGACCAGGTGTTTTCTACCTCCCATTAACTGTGTCAGGTCAGCTTTCAAATGGGCTCCAGAAGTAAGGGTGAGGAGGACAAAGGAAGAACAGAACCCCCGGGAAAGGGGAGATGAACTCCCCCAAGCCAGCCCAGGAACTAACGGTGGGCGCCCTCCGCTAGAACCCTCTGCGCTTCTTCCAAAGCTAACAAAACTCGAAGACACGTGACACGGGAGTCACACTGTCCAAAGACAGTGGCGTTCTCTACTCTCTCTACTCCATTCCCTTGGTGAATGTGCCCACCACATTCAAGTCCCTCCAATTCTTTCAAAATTTTAGGGAAAAAAGAGAGAAAAATACCTTCAATACCATCTACCATAGCCACCCCTGAGATGATCCCACGGACACACAATGTCAAACAGAACGGCAACTGAGATTTTTTTTTTTTTTTGTGCTCCTAGAGAAGCGCTCCATGGGAACGGCCTTGTTCATGCATGTCATTTCCATGTAGCGCAACCTCTGCCCTCTTCACCCCACCACTGCGCACACCTGAACCCCCAGGTGCCTCCAGCACTAATTGGCCATAAAGGCCTCCAAAGGAAGATCCAGTCAGCGTTACAATTCCAAACCACATTATGAACTCTACCTCTGACTTTGCTGAGAGCAAGGGCAGATGGTTAGACAATGGAGTGTCCAATCAGATGTCCGGTGCCCCGCGCCTCCTGTGCTAACGCCACAGTCTAAATGACACCATCCCTCACACGCTCCTTCCTTGAAAATTCTGAATGAGTCACAGGTTGAGGTCAACAGCCACAGGACACTCGTTTGTAAAAGGCCGGCTTCTACAGGGGCCATGGCTGTCTCCAGCCTAGGATAGGCGAAGAGACACTGCGAACTTCTGCAACTCAGAGGTGGGACCCCTTGACTAAACACACAGAAGGAGCGTCATGACTGACAGGCTCTTGAACCAATCAGGACACAGGAGATATGACTGCCCTCAGGGGAAGCACAGAAAACCCCCTTCTAAGGCAGCCGAAAGCCTTCCCGTCCCCAGCACTCAGTGATCACAGAGAGTTTCTTACGTGGGGTTCAGGACATTTGGTGTCACCCTACGAGATGAAGACCAGAGGTTCCTGTCCATACTTACTGAGGGCTGAAACTCCAGGCACTCTTCCTCAAAGTCAGGGTCTACCTGATGGAAAAGAATCATTAGGAAATTAAATCCATTGCTTTCTCAAGGGCGCGGCCCCACCTGCAGGAGACGTCAAGGCCTGCGAGCATCTCTGAACAGCTAAGAACTCGTCCCTTCCCTGTGCTCACGAAACCAGCATGCCACAATGACGACACGTGCCACATGAGTACAACACACACGGGACAATCTCCCAGTCACCAAGAGACGGCTCGCAAGTGTAGACAGAGGAACACGATGAAGTCACCAGCAGAGCAACAGTTAAAAGCCTGAGGTACATGAAAGATCAGTACCCCGTCATTGATAATCCTGCTTATTTTTAGTTAGAAATAAAAAATTTGTGCCTCTGACAAGAGCTACAGTCGTCTCAGCACGCAGCCGACAGCACGACCACCACTGGTCTTTGGCAAACCACGGAGCCAACATTCCTCACAGCTGGTTCGCTAGGTCCCCTCTGGCTCCACTTTAAATTTCAGCTTAGCTTTGCTCTTCGGTTCTTGCATATTTCGAACTCATCAGTTCATGTAAGTGTCAGGCTTCCCGGGGTCAGCTTGCAGGAGCAGTGCTGTCACCCACGCGTCACCTTGAAAATCTCTGAGCAGTCTCACCAGTGGCACCAGACAACAGGAGTGTCATCTGATGTCTGAGGAGAATCTGATGTAAATACGCATCGTATCCCAATGGATCAGAGTAAAACTCAACATCTGTCGCATGGTAGGGTGGCTCCTTAATTTGACACAAAATCTCAAAGATACTCCCTCCCCCGCCCCCGCCCTTCATCACCGAGTCTTGCCTGTCCTCAGAAACCCTTAGCAGGCATTCAGGGTGAAGTTCATTCCTTTGACTTTTGATAGTCCTACCAGTAAATGATTAGACTTGGTCTACTCCACGGGTGCTCTGAGAGCCATCACGCTGCGGAACGTTGTCTCGTGCTGTGTGTGCCGTCACGCTGCCGGCTTTCACACCGCGTTTCCTGACAGCTAAGTGTCAGCCATTCTTGTTAGGAGCAGGGTTGGTAGGTAAGATGTGGGGAGAGCAGCGTGCACGAGCGAAACTAGGATAATCCTAAAACCCAGATCAGCGATCTTTTCTTCTTGAAGACCCAGTGTTTCAGCAACTTTCAAGTACACAATACAGTATTATTAACTACAGTCGCCCCACCGTGCATCCCACCTCCGGGCAGCATCACTTTCTAACTGATGGTCTCCCCACATCTTGATGGAGATCCCTGTGAGGTACGAAAATGTGATAACCACTGTTACCTTTTCCTGCCTATCAGCAGGGAAAGGAGGCAGAAGGAAACAGAAAAGCAGAAGGACAAGCGAGGTGACTGGGCATCACCCTACGCCTCTAACTACCCGATGGTTACAGGTGAGGGAGGCAAAAGGAACGCGTCCGCCTCGAAAGGGGGAAACTCGGGCAGGTTGCTACTCACCTCTGCTGCTAAGTAATGCCCTGTAGCGAGATGCTTGAAACGAAAAAGGCTGTTCCAGTATCCGGCTCCTCCCCGGCACGGGTCATGCTGGACGACCTGCAAGGGGAGGGACGAACGGTCAACAGGAGTGGAGAAGTGTCAGCCCACAGCAGGGCAGCTCCGAATCTGAGACATCGCCCAGAAGCCAAAGTTCAGGAGGGAGACTGACTAGCTGGAAAAAAAATCGGTATCTTCCAACAAACCCACTGCGAGCGTCACGTGTAATGCCAGAGCTTAAACATACGGAAGTGCTAAGTTTCTCCAAAGAAGAAAGTCTCCCAGTTAACATGAAATTATGGTAGTGAAACACTCCACCATTTTCAGATTGTTTGCCTTAATCATCCCGAAGCAGAATTTAAGATTCTGAGTTCCATCCACAAGAGGCATGAAATTTAAAACATGCTTCATGGGAAACTGTGAAAGCCCTCCACACGTGGAACTGCCGTGCTGAAAAACACACACAGGCCTGTGCTGTGCAACCTGGAAGCCTGGACCGATTCACCATCAAAACAAACGTCACTTCAGCTCTGGTCGTGACTCCATACCTGGCACTGGTTGTTGGTGCTGGAAGCAATTGGACATTACACCAAAAACTGCACTTGCCACAGACAACAAGAAAATTGGGTAAAATACATGAAGTGCCTCTCAGCTGTTGGACAATGGGCTGTGCACAGTGTGATCTCTGAGAGAAGGAAACGAGGTGACATCTGCTGTGACTACTGCAGCTTTCTCCTAAAGGTCCTCTTGGGATGGGCAGCATGGGGAAGGGGGAACCAAGCAGGGGACTCTGGTGTCAGAGGACATCCCAGAATTTAGGGAGATGCAAGTGGCTGGAATGGTGGGGGCAGAACACAGAGCTACCCAGACAAAAAGCTCCAGAAATCTATACAAAGGTCTGCTTGACGCTTTGGCTGGATACCAAGCTGCAGGTGTGTAAGGCGAGACCCCACAAATGAAGAACAAGGGGAAGCTGTGAGTGCAGCATTCCCAGAGCTCACGCAGGGCTGGCCGGTGCCCAGTTCTGATGAGCCAGCGGAGAGACTCCATCACACACCTGGGCATTCAGTAGAGATGCCAGAAGGGTCACACCTTAGTCACAGGACGCACCCAGCCCTGAAAGAAGACTACAATACAGCTGACCTAGCGAAGCTTTGAAACGGGCCTCCAAATGATCAAACAGATTCACAAGTAACTCTACTGTCTGACAAAACAAAATGCAATACTCTTTAAGGGAAGGCCACAGAATCCAGGCACTCTACAAAGTAGCACATACTGTCTGTCTAGAATTCTATATCCTGCAAAAATACCCTTCACAATGTTCAGCATGTAGCCATAAAGCAATGGAGAGGCAAGCAGCAGGAGAACGTGACCCATCCAATCAGTGCCCTGTCAGGCAGCATTCAATGATCCGGCATGTCTGTGTGGGGGCAGGAAAAATATTTGAGAAATAATGACTCCAAGTTCTTCAATTTTGATATATACCCACAGATTCAAGAAACTCAGTGAACTCAAAGTAGGATATACACATGCGTGTGCATACAAACATCATCATAATTAGGTTAATGCAAAGCAGAAATCAGAAGACCTTAAAAGCAGCTATGAAAAAGAAGACACTACATGTAGGTACAAAGGTGACAACCGCTGAATTCACATCAAAGCAGCAATGCACACAAGATGACAATGGATGAACATCTTTCAAGCACAGAGAAGAAACTGTCTACCCAGGATTCTATAGCCAACAAAAATATCCTTCACACATGAAGGCCACATGGAGAAATTAGGACCTTAACACACCACATTTGGGAACAGAAACTAACCTTGAGTTACCATATGACCCACAATTCCACTCCCAAGGACACTGAAAACATGTCCTCTCACAAAAACTTGTACATGAATGGTCATCATTCAGAAAAGCCCCCAAGTGGAAACAACCCAAATGGCATTGAATGACAAAACACGGTCTCCCCATATATGGGGAATATTATTTGGCAATGAAAAATGAAGTACTGACACATGGGGCCATATGGATGAACCTGGAAAACCTCAGGCCAGGTGAAAGAAGTCAGATCTGAAGGACCACGTGGGAAATGTCCAGCAGAGGAAATCTATGCAGACGGGAAGATGCGTGGTTACCGGGCGGAGCGGGTAGGAAGGTTGGAGGAGAAATGAGGTGAGGCTGCTATGGGGACAGGGTTTCTTCTACAGCGACGAAAAAAAAAGTTTTAAAATCAACTGTGGTGACGGCTGCACAACTCTGGACCTACTAAAAGTCACTGAATTGTACACTTTGAATTGTGTGGCATATGAACTGTATCACAATAAAGCTACTATTTTAAAAAAGAAAAATAATTTTAAAAAGGAAAATAAACAGATTTTTTAAAAAAAAAAACAAAGGCAAAATTAAAGATAGTCACACACAAACAGAAAGATCCTTTCCCAGGCGCTGGTCCCCAAAACCAGTTTGTCTCTCTCCCCACGCGGAGCCTCTGCTCTCCACCCAAGTGGTCACTGACTTCGATCCCGAGGCCGCCTCACATTTCCGAGTCCACGCCACCATCTCACGTGAAGGGGCTGACCCTGTGCGCCTCCTCCTTCCCAAGTACAGATGGTCCTGTAAGTGCCAGCTCAGGCGCTTCCGCCCCCAGGCAGCCTTCCTGCATCGCTCACCCCACCTGAAGTGCTCCCTCCACCAGCCACATCTACACAGCCCGGACAGCAGGCCGGCCTCTCGTCACCTTACCACCTAGCTCTCTGAGTGGGTGTCGTGTCATCCTATCCCCAGGGTGCGAGTCCCTTTGCACCATGTTGGGTGGGCACGTGGTTACATACTGTGTCAGATACATGAACAAGGGAGAGAAAAACAGAAGGGAGAGGTGATTAGGTGGCCTGGAGACAGAAATTTCCAGTTTCGGTTGTGAGTTTGCTTCCCAAGGAGATGCTGCGTCCTCCACAGGCGCACCCAGCACCCTTCTGACGCGGCGTGATGCCGCCCCACGGCACAAGGCGGGTGGCTGGGATTTACTGCCATCAGCCCACGAGGCCCGCCTCCCCACCACGGCCTTACCTCCACCTCCCACAGGGCTTTGGAGCTGGTGGCAGACGTGGCCGACTGGCGGCCCGTGGTTCTCAGGAAGACGTGCTGCTTCTTCCTGTGCTCGTCACACGTGAGAAACTTCTCCTGCTCAGCGTGGAACAGCCTCACCACGTCGCCCTAGGAGTCAACACACGGAGCAATCAAGGAAAGTGGAGTTTAAAAGAGAACTGAGCTGCTGCTGGGAAGGGCCGCGCGCCACCCGGCCCACCAGGCACCCAGCTCACCCCCTTCAATATGTCATCTTTGTTATCACTCCACTTCATGAAAAGCACGATTTTCCAGCTTGTATTGCAGTTGACAGAATTGACCTGGAAAGCAAAGGACAGTTTTTTATTGTTTCACATCCCCCTCATAACAATTGTGTCTTCTAGCCCCCAAACCCTAACTGAGACCGACAGCCTGAAGATCACAGGGCCTGCAAATTCAACTGGCCTGTCAGAGGCCCGTGGTGGGAAAAGGGTCCTGTGGCCCAATCCCTGTGCGTGCGCCAGCTGACGACAGGAAGCAAGCTTCCTGCCCTCTGGAACGACCGCTTCCTTTTTCTCCGAGTCTCTTGTTCTGTAGCTGGAAAGTAACAGCCAAAGTACTTGTAAAATGGGATGGACTACAGAGGTGAGAAAGCGTCCAGCGTGTACATTCGGAAATGCTAACGGCACGCACAGCAGTGCCGCTGTCCGGACACTGAGTCTCTGCCAGGCCCTGCCTGGGCTAAGGGCTGACGCCCATGAGCACATCTAGTCCTCGGCGACACCCTGAGACGAGGAATGACCGTCACGCCCATTTTAGAGACAGGAGCCCTGATGCACGGAACCAGCCCCCAGTCAGAGCTCAGGAACGGCAGGATGGGATTTGCAGCCACGTCTATCGGACTCCAGAGCCTGTGTCCTCAACCATTAGACAAGGATTGATGTCACCGTCAAGTTACTGTCCTTGCGCCCTCTATCTGCCACTTTAGAGGCTAAGCAGATGTGTTGCCAAAAGCAAGGTGTCACTCTCTCAGGGCTGCTGACGGCTGGCCTGGTGTCCCCTTCTTAGCAATTAGCAAAAGACACTCTTTTTAGGGAGATAGTTAGAAAAAGGTGCCCCTTTGGCCAGAAAAATTCTGTAAGGGGGTCTTCTCTGGCTTAAATTAGAAAACAACCTCCCCCTCCCCCAATGAGCTAAGGCTCATAAACTGCGCCCTGCGGCAACAATCTCAGCTTTGTGCAAACTCAGGCGGCAGCACTGACTGGGGCCTCGGTTTCCTGATATGCAGGATGGGCACATGACCATACGTCACTGCTGAAGTCCCTGTCACACACACATGCCCGCCCCAAGGCCTGTGCCTGCAGCCTCTGCTCACCTGCAGGCCGTAACTCGGCCCCCTTACCTCATTGCAGCCTGGGTTGTCTACCAGCTGGTGGCTGCTGGCGTGCAGGGGCTGACCAGCATTGACGGGGTTCAGGACAACCTTGTCACCTATGACCACCTGGAAAGGAAAGGACCAAAACAGGTCAGATGTCCCTGGTGGAAGGCAGCTGGGCATCCTCAGACCACCCCCTGGCGTGTGCCCGGCCAGCACAGCCGGACACTTAGCCGTGCAGGCCATCTTGTGGCATCCAGCAATTCCTGGCCAACCCCTGAGAAATGGCAAGACCAGCATAGGACGTCACTGTCACCTGCCAATGTCCCCCATTTCATGTTAACAGAGAAATGTAAATAAGCTGAACTCAGTTTTAGGAGCAGATTACTATCTGCAGGAAGTTTTATCTCTGCAGGGACAGAGCCATGATTTTATACACCTACAGCCATGACTTCTGTGCTGTTTTGAGTGCAAGCCACGATAAGCAGCACGTTTTCTGTTATGACCCAGTCAGGCACGCTTAGGTGCACGTGTATCCTATGTCTGTGTGTACAGAGATAGCTATACGCGTCTGCAACAAAGTTACCCCACACCAACCCTTATCCTCATTACGTTAAATACAGCCTGATGCTTTCTGTTCTACTCCACTTTCAAAAATGACAGTCACGGGCCCCTAAATTGATCCCATGGCCCACGAATAGATGAACACCTGTCATTTAAAAAACTCTCTTCTACAAGAATGCCTATTCAGTCCATCTTACCTTCTCCACTAAGGCACCGCTAAACAGGTAAGTTTACAGGGCAGGAAAGCTCAGGCCGTGCTGAAAATGAAACTCAAAACCCAAGCACCCTTGTCTTTCATTATGGAGATGGGGGAAGGGAGATGGAAATAATGGCTTCCTAAGGTGTTAAGTTCATCTATTCGCAGTTTGATACATTGGGGTAGGGGGGTGGCATATACAATTACATTTTCTCTAACTGCAATGAATATAAGTACGTCCAAAAATCTAGTGCTTTTGGTGGAGTCTCAGCTTTACTGGACTTGTCCTTCTCTTCTCAGTAGAGGGTCAGTGTTTGCTGCACACCCACCGACTGGGATGGGCTGGGCTGCTGCTGGATACGTCTAGCATATTGTATCACCCCCCACACACACACACACACACAGAGGGTGCCAAAAAAATGTATATGCGTTTTAAGAAGGAAAATTGTATTCAATTGCAATAATATATACCGATAACAGAAGATGAATACAAGTCACGTTTGACTTCTGCAATTACAAGAGGTGCTCCAAGTGATTGCCATCAGCGTCCAGACACTTCTGATGACGGCGAACTACTGCTTGAGCAACGCTGACCAAAGTGTCCACTTGTATACATTTTTTTGGCACCCCTGGTATTTCAAGTTGCCCAAAGCTTGTAAACTTAAATGGCAATACTGAAAAATGGCAAAACCCAGTTTTATGTGAGGCTAGTTGAGCATTTTGACAAGATTTCCTGCTGTTGAAGACATATATTTCTTTTTAGTGAAAAACAACTATTTTGGAGTCTTAATAAGGTCAGAAGTATGGCTGATAGTATTTAAACAGCGTTGAGAATGTAACGACTTACGAATGTCCCTAGCAGGTATCGGCACTGCTCCAAGTCACACCAAGAAGGTTTTCTGTGACTTCGATCCTAACGACCTCTCAGGAGAGGGGCCAGCTCAGGACCGAAGCAGTCTCTGAGCAGGATGCAGGGCCTGCAGGCTGACGGGCGAGGAGATAAGTGACCGTAACCCGACAGGGCTCTGTCCTTCCCTGCCACGTCCACTGGTCTCCCATCGTCCTTCTTTACTAACTTAATTTCCAAATGAGAGAGGCATTTGTATTCCACGGACGATCTAGGGTGACAGGGGCCCTCTCCAAGACATTAATATAGGGCAGCTGTTTTCATGGTAAAGTTACTGAGGTAACGAGCTATTCATACAATTTTTTCAGGAGCCGGAAGGAAAAACATAGCTACTTGGATTTAGGTCACACTTCTCTCCCAATTTCCCTGTTTCCCAAACACTGGTTTCCATAGCAACTCCCTGCTTCTCCTCATCCAGGATATGCCTCTGGCTCCAACTTTAAAATTCTCCTCGTGGTCACTGATGCGCAGCTCTGGGTGGGGGCTGGCAGGGAGCCGTCCCCCGGCCGTGGGTGCACTCACGCTGTCTCCGATGGACCGCAGCTTGTAGAACGGCTGTATGTAAAACCAGGACCCTTCATTCCCGGCCTCGTCCAAGGTCACTCTCATGGCGTTCTTCTCCAGCAGAGCCGGAAGCCTCTTATTCACAGTTAGGTATTTATTACTTTTCAAGTGCAGGAGCTGAAAAGCCACCAAGAGAATTAGGGGAGTGTGAGCAAGCCTTTGAATCTCCACCACTTCTCTCTCAGTCCTATAAAATATGTATCAAACATTCCTCCCTCCACTGAGCTGGCCGTGAAGCCAAAGAACCACAGGCACGCCTAAGGCAGGGCGTGGTTACAAAAGAAGGAAGCGCCAAGGCAGCAGAAGTGGAGGGAAGCAGAAGATTTTCTTTTTTTCCCGGCACGGCCTGGGATAAGGCGGGAGGAAGGTGCTCAGGCCGAGGGCACCACCGGCGCTCTGCCATCTGCCGCTGGGAAGGAGCCCGACACCCTGCACAGAAGCTGGCGCCGAGGGACTGCGGACTCAACAACCCTGACAAGTGGGGAGCTGAGGAAGGACACTTTTGAGCGCAAGAAACAGTTCAATTGAATGGGGGACCTTGTGAGGGGGCAGTCATTTCATTTGGAAGAACATGGCTGCAATGGATTTCCATCTTGAATTTCTAAGCACGTTATTCTTAATTCCTGGGTAATTATTACATGAAGGGGATGGAAAAACCAAAGATCGAGATGGAAAACCACTTGTGTCATGGTAGGTCTAGACCAGCAAGCATTCCTGACTCAACAGGCTACAAGAGAAGACGGAAGGGAAGATGGAAAACTGGCCGAAACTGGGGAGATGGTGAGGCCAGCACGTGGCTCCACTGCCAACCGCCAACATCCCCCCTTTCATGTTAACAGCCAGAGTTTCTCAAACAGTCCTAGTCGGTCCACAAATCTTCTCTCAGGGTCGATGGGGGTGGAGGAGTAACCTGTCTGACTTGCGAGCCCCTGACATCCCCTGGGCATGAGAGACACACACCTGTCGAGGTGCTGGGCTCAGCTGGTTTATAAACCCACATTACCTGGAGGTGGAACCCAAGCTCCAGGTTTGGGAGGAGTAATAACAAGTAATATTAGCAAGTATGTGTTCAGAGCTCACTCTGGGACAGGTGCTCCTCAACCCCCCACCCCCCCGCCCCGGGAAGCAGATACTACTAGTATTCTCATTTTACTAGTGAGTAAATTGAGGTATGGCAAGATTTCTTGCCCAAAACCTCATCGTCAGCAAGTTGCAAAATCTGAACTGGAATGCATGTAAGAGTTTATGTTCTGGGCCCCTAGGCCCTCTTCCGTCTTCAGTTCAAGCCACACTCCCCTGTCTAACTCAGGCGTCTTGCTCTCGGAGTTCCATGGCACTGGCCTGGCCCAGTAATGAAGCTGACACTGAACCTGGAGCCCACCTGGCCCCTTGTGTCCATTCTCAACTGGCTAGAACCTGCAAGGGAGGACGAGAGGCACTGGCAGGACCTAATCTTCAAACAGATTCTGGAAGCTGCTTGCGCCGTGTCCGAAGGCCTGAGGGTAATAATCCAGTTAGACATACAAGGCTGCTTTCCCCAATCTGGCAATTCTGGTTGTCTCATATTCCTGATGAGCCCTGCTCGGTAGCTGACAGGAATAAAAATGGGGAGGGATTCACTTGTAATTAGTGAAGTTTACATTTACATTAGTCAAGTAAGCAAAATCTTTCAAAAAGGGAAAACGTGAAGCCAGATAATGAAACGGGTCGGGTCCTCAAAAGCTGGGAACTACTTCGGCCCTTTGTGCTGGGCCCAAACCACCTGGAAACCGCGCAAATCGAGAGCGGCCATATTTGGCTCTGGACTTCCTCGCACACTGTTTTCTGTGAGGACGGACCCAGGTGGGTTTTCGGGGCAAACGCCGCCGTCACTGTTTCCTAGGTTGTGTTTTATCCCCGAGTCGAACTTAAAGGTGCAAGAGATTAACATGGAAACCTCGCCGCCCGTGAGACCCAACATCAGATACTCCAGCCGAAGGCACAGCATGGCTCCTACTCCCTCTGGCGGCCCGTTCTTGACCAAGGGAGCAAAGTTACAGAGAAGCCAATTTCCACCGAATACTAAGAGCTTTCAAGCAACACGAGTTACGCCAAACGGCAACAGCCAGACTCCTTTTCAGGCGGGAAGCTTCCTATTTACAGCATTTGGACAGATCTTAAGTTATCAGCTGCAGTGGAGAGAGGTATTTGAATTCTGACCCCTGAGAAAGGACCACCTAGAAGCCCGAGTCCAGCCCACGTGAGAAGAGCCACTAGACCTGGACAGACGCGCTGTCTCCATGGAGTCCTGCCGACAGGCTGGCCCCAACCCCGTCTCCTGCGTGTGGTTCCCGGTTTTGCCCCCCGTGATGCTCCAATGCCAGGAAGGGCCCGCGGCCCTGACCTACCTGGATCACGTTGCCATACTGGATGACGGTCCCCAGCAGTTTCCTGTTTTCTGTCTCATTCTGCTTCTTCTCCAAGTCCGCAGCGTGCTGTGCGGGCAGAAAGAAGGCTGGTCACGAAGCGGGAACAAGGGGTTACAGTTCCCTGCGGCGATGCAGGGCCAATGTGGCCGGTCCGTACAAGAACCCCAGGAAGAAGCCAAGAGCTGAGTGCCCCAAGGCTAAGCGGAGGGAGCCCCTAGGGGCCCAAGAATCCAACCCACCCTGCCCCTTGCTTTCTTGGTTTTAAAATGCTTTTTTTTTTTTCTTGAAGGAATTCATGGACATATCAGTTTAGGGTAAGACTAAGTCAAAAGCTTATGTATTTTTAAAGAAAATAGGGTAGGGGCGGAAGGGAATTTGTAAAAGTTCTCTTTTAATGCTTTGGCATAAAATAACTCTGAATTTAAATGGCGGTTTGGGTGGTTTCTGCTTTTGTGACCTGGCATGTTACTGAGCAGCTGTGCACGTCAGTTTCCTCTTTTGTCACAAGAGGGTGCAGACAGTACCCACACCTCAGGAGTCACAGAGCACAGCACATGTCACTGTAGCACTGATGGAGAGTTACTCTCGTTGGACCTTAATTATCATTTATTTCATTTTCATAGTTTTCCTTTGTGGAGAAGGTCATTGTCCCAATTTTAAAAAAGAAGAAACAGGCTCAGAGATATTAAGAAGTCAACGTTGCATAGCTGGTTGGATGATGGGTACAAAAGGGCTTTGTTATAACTGTTTTCTCTACTTCTGTGTATATTTGAAATTTTGCTTAACAATGTCCCTTTTCAAACGTCACACACCTATTAAGCAAACCCACATGTGGGTTAACTCCAGGTCTATATACAGTGACTAATGAGGCTGGGAGCTACGACCAGTACAAATGTGGCAGGCTAGGAGAAATGGTCAAGTTGAAGAGAGCTTCCAGAATATTCTTCCAGGGCCACTGACCTGAATGGCCACTTTTCACTCATTTACCTGTATAATTGTGACAGTATTGTCAGTATATCATAACAGTGCTCAAGGGGGACTGGTTTCACCCCAGGCAATGGGGAAACTATTGGCCCACTCCATCTCCCAAACCTAGACTGAGGGAAACAGAAGTCAAGTCCCAGGGAGGAAACTCGGTATCGAATCTCACGGATGCTAAACCTGACGACCACTTGCACATGTCTCAGCTGGTTCCAGGTCTCCCCTTTCCTTGAGGTGAGAGACGACCAGGTGCCAGTGGGTCAGCGGGCCTCTTTCCCAGGGAACACGTCTGCATGTTCACAGGACCCGTCGACTTGCTCTTGGTTCCACCACATACCAGCTTTACCCTGCTGGCCCAGGCCACTCACCCTCGCCAAGCCTCGCTGCGTATCCCCATCCACAAAACGGGGACAATGCAAGCCTTTTAGGGCTGTGGCGAAGATTAGAGAAAAATTCAGCATCCGCTCCACCTCCACCTGGAGCGTAGGTATTTTTAGGAAGGTAGAGCATTCGAGAAAAACACACTGTAGGAAGGAATCCTAAACCAAAAAGCAGCCGCATTACAGGAGGCGAAGAGTGTGCCTCCGTGGGACCATCCCGCGTGACGGCACCTGCCTCTGCCCCATAAAACAGTGGTCCAGTTACAGGCTTCCCCTCTCTTTTTGGGAGTCAGTTACCAGTCTGCTGTGCTCAGCTGCAAAAGAATAAAGGCCGTTGGGCTCCCAACACATCCGGAAGTAACCCCCATGCAGACAGGGCAACCCTTGGCCTCCAAGCTGCGCTCCGCATCGCACCGTCCCCCCGAGCTCTCCCCACTCCATAAACGCCCCCGTAAATGCACTCCCATCTCCCATCCTGCTGTTTCTGTGCCTGTGCCCTGCCCTCTCCGGGGACCTCTCTCATGCTCACAAGTCTGCAGGTCGTTTTCCAAACAACCCTGGATGGACTCCACCAGAAGAAGGGGTCTAATTTGCAGACAGCCATTTGTTCTTACAGTTCTCAGCTACCAGACAGGAAATTCAAGGAAAAACCTCAACAGGGGGAAAATAACACAATGTTTTCCAACAAACCAATATAGATTTTCTCTGCTCAAAACATCACACTGCAAGGAGTCACCTGTAAAGAATCATAGAGTAGCATTTCTCGGATGCAAGTGGTACAAGGGCCCTTGTTTAAGAGGGAAAATTCTCATGGACATTCTTCCTCTCAAGAACCGCCAGGGGCCTCAGTTTCAGAAAGAGTAACCTAAAATATGAAGTTCCTACCTACGCTTAGACTAAGTATAAAAGTGGCAAGTCAACAGTTACTGGCACATCTAAAAAGAAATGTCAAATGAGTCACCAAGAAGGCATTCTATATTAAAGACTAAATACCAGCAGCTCTACAAATGACGGGCATTTGTCCAAAAACACGCAAAAGGTAAAATTAGAACAGAAAAGACAACAAAATTGGAGGATAAATATCTACTATCTTGTCTCAAAATATCAAATCACATCTGAAACTGATAAAAGGTTTACTGAGGACCAAACCTTCACGTAACTACTGAGTGAACATTTAATATTCAATGTATTAAGCTTATACATCATTCTAAGAATTCCCTTTTCCTATAAGCTCTCTGTTTAAGGAGAAAACTCTCCAAATCATTTCACCTTTTACTAAATGTGCGAATACTATATACGTGTTCGTTGGAGTTCACACAGCAACCCTTAGGTGACTCCCTCCACAAAACCAGTCGGGCTTTTCCCTCCAGTTTTATTGAGCTCTCAATTGACATACAGCTTTTAAACAAAAATTCAACTTTTAAACAAAAACATCCATCCTGATTTTTAGGTTCAACAGGTGAGACAAAAGGTAGTTAAAAAGGAAATAAGGTTTGAAGTCCACCTGGGCCCACTGATCAAAGCAGCTCCCACCCTTGGAAAGGATACATGGTTCATTAAATCCCACAAGTGCTTTCTAAAGGGGTGAGGGTGTAGGGGGGCACTCTGTAAGACCAGGAGCTGGTACAATCTCCTTGAAGGATAACCTGGCAATATCCACCACTAAGTTTTTCAATGGGCGTAACTTTGACTCAGCAATTCCATTTCCAGGAGCTTCTCCTAAGAAGATAATCTGGCACGTACACGAGGCTGCAACAACTTTTTTTTTTTTTTTTTGTCCAGAATGCCCCAAATTGTCAGGATCTTGAATACCGCCCACTGCCACAAGGGCTGGCCAGATAAAATTATAGTGCTTGTGTGCTTATTACTCTTTCCCCTTACACCAGCAGTTCTCAACCTGTGGGTCGCGACCCCTTTGGGGGTCGAACGACCCTTTCACAGGGGTCGCCTAAGGCTATTGGAAAACAAAAAGCTATTTACATGACGATTCATAACAGTAGCAAAATTACAGTTATAGAGTAGCAACGAAAATAATTTTATGGTTGGGGGTCACCACAACATGAAGAACTGTATTAAGGGGTCACGGCATTAGGAAGGTTGAGAACCGCGGCCTTACACGATGGGTTGTGGACTCTTTTTAATTTCTAAGGGCACAACTGCACCCTATGCTATCGTCCCCACCCCCATCATTCAACACGGATATTCCCCCATGCTCCCTAAGCAGCATCAAGGTCACCCCCCAAATAGTCACCAGTTATTTTATGTCAGCAATAGAAAAACCGTGATTAAATTACTACAGAAAAGTCACCGGAACGACAGGGAAGAGTTATTTACTTCCGATCAGCAATCTCTGAATTTGCCCCGTGACGCTAAATGAAAGCTGGCAGAGACAAGCAGAGCAGGCGTCAGAAGGCAGCAGGACCTGTCCCTCCGGCAGAGGGAAGGGACACACACAGCAACCGGCCACTAGGTGTCATTGTCCTTCTGGGTGCTGTTTACATGTTGCATATTCCAGTCAAAAGGAAGTCAAGTGGTCTAGACAAGTAATTCCTTAAATGGCATTAATTTAAAATAATCTGACCTTTATTTGGGGTCCTGCACAGAAGTTGACCAAAATAAAACTGAGAACCCACTGGAGACTGGCCACCAGCCCTCGGAGGCGAGCGGCTGCCTGAAATACAGCATCTCAGTGACGGCACTGAAGCATGTAGACTTCCAGACACCGGGGGAAAGGTCCCAACAGGCAGGAAAGTCGGAACCACACAAGGTCAACATCCAGGACCCAAAAGTCACAGCAGTAATCAAATCAGAATAACAGACTGCTTTCCGTCTGAATGTTTTGAAAACCACAAACAGCATGCAAGAGAGACTGGTCTCTTTTTTTTTTTCCATAAGGAGTTCAAAGTTCTTGAACACCTTTAGGGCGGCATTTTACCAATCATGTAGGTTTTCCCCCCACTTCATTCGTGGAAATGGATGGCTGATGAAACTTAACAAACGCCATCCAGCCCAAGCCACTGCCGTCAGTGTCGAGTGCATGTTTTACATTTTAACTGAATCCGTTGCTGGGTTGTTTTTTTTAATTGAGATATGACACATCAGCCTGGAGTTTTAGCTTCTCTTGAAAGAGCAGGGCCCTGGCAGCAGCTCTCAGCTCACCTGCCCCCACAGCCACAGCAGGGGGGTGGAGCGGCCCCCCCAGGGCCCACACACGCGCTCTCCACTTAGCAACCTGGCCCACCAAGTCCCCTCCATTCCAGCTGGCTTCCTGCGTGGCCACGGGGAATGTGAATTTATAACCCCTGCTGTAAAAAACGCAGGAGCAGCAAGGGTTTGTACTAATAAGATCTCAACTGAACAGAGTAATTTTCAGACCAGAAAAGGAAAAGCAGCGCTACTGAAAGGTCCTTCCACCGAGGTGGCCCCACAGGCAGGCACACACATGGAAAGTTCTCCCAGCAGGCCTGCGCAGCCATTCCGCTGGACCCTCCTGCTCAGCACACACTTCCGGGGCATTCTGACCGGTGCAGTGATTGTGGGAGTGAGGACAGGGGAGGGGGGCGCTGCTGATATGCAATGGACAGCAGCCAGGGACGCCGGATGCCCCAAAGTACACGTACGCTCGTCCGCACAATTTTATGTCTGCTTGGACATTCATACAGGTTAACTGAGGTTAAAAAGCCGTGTGCAATTTCTGAGCAGACCCCTAACTCCACGGCTCTGCAAGGTTTAATTAATACTATTGTTAATACATTTTGAGAAAATGCAAGTGCTATTTAATCAAGGGAAGCATGTACTTTGCTTTCTTGATAACATTACCCAGAGCTGCTGACCATTTTGCAAAATGACATTACAGAAAACACGCTTTGTGGGTCGCCAGTTCCCCACGCCTACGAGTCCCAGTCTTCGCGGCCTTATTCCTGGGGTTCACACACACAGTACAAGCATTTACTTCCTATGGTGTCTAGAGTGGTCGTGCTTGAGCACCGACTTACAAAACCATATAATTTACTACTTTTATTTCTCCTTGATAATTCATGTTTTAATGTAGTAACTTGGGAGGTTATACTATTTATGAATTTTATTTCCTGTTTGTATATTTACATACCATATTTCCCCATGTATAAGACGCACCCTTTTTCGAAAAATTCTGGGTCTAAAAACTGGGTGTGTCTTATACAATGGTTGTAGATTTTTTTTACTTGCACTTCCCACTTTTTCGCACTTGTTTTTGCGCTCCTTGTAGTTTTTTTACGACGCACCCAGTTTTTAGACCCCAAATTTTTTGAAGAAGAGTGCATCTTATACATGGGGAAAAACGGTAATATTTGCAGCTGGCCCGGTGAGGTGGAAGACTTCTGCCCTAAAACCATTAAAATAATGATGCAACTCCTGAAGTCTTTAAAGCAGTCTTTTTCCATTGTATCTTCTCCTCTTACTCTGTGATGCCCACAGATGCCTCAGACTGAGGCTTGTCACTTCCTCTTCCTCCAGGAAGCGCTCCATGGCCACATCACATACCCTTATCCACATAGGAGATGGGTGCCCTTTCTAGGTGCTCGCACAGACTTGGTACTTGGCCCTGTAATAGCACTTGCCACTCTGCCTTCATTTATTTTCCCTTTGTTATTATTGGTTATTCAGCTTCCAGAGGGTTGAGATGCTGTCACAGTTTTATCACCATCACAGTGCTCATTCCGTCAACAAGTGCTTCTTGAGCACCTACTATGTGCCAGACACTATCACAGGCACTGAGATGCTGTGGTAAACAAGACAGACACTGTCTCTCACCTAATGGGGCTGCCATTCTGATGAGTGACAGATGATAATTTAGGAAACTACTACTGGGTAGTCGGAAAAGTCATGATACATTTTTGCAACGAAAAACATAGAAAAAATGCGTTCATGACTTTTCCGACAACCCAATATAATAAATACAACTGCAGACTGATCAGTGCTGAGAAAATGATACTCCGAGCTCTGTGATGGAAGAAAGCAGCAGGCCAGCTCCGAGATGAGGAGGCGGGGCAAGACCTCACTGAGCTGCCACTCACACTGAGATACAGAGGAGGAGACGGTCTTAGCTTAGGAAGAGTTGGGGGAAATGCTCTCAACATTCTAAACCGCTGTGATGCTCCCAACAAATGAACTAAATGCAACAGAGCCCGTGTGGCTGGAGTGTAGGCAGAACACTTCAGGATGCCCCGAGGGGACAGCAGGGTCCAGCGGAGCAGAGCCCGGAAGGCAGTGCAGTGGGGGTGGCCGCGTGTGCGTGCTGACACCTGACGAAAAGCTCCCTGAGGGTCGGAACCTGGTCTGTTCCTGTGTGTACATGTCATCGAACCTGGAGCACCGTGAGTGGCGACGAGGACCCCTCTCTCCTTAGGGTCAGCTGCCTTTTATCCCTTCATTCAAGAACAGACGAAGGCCGGTCCCCAGATGTGGAGGCTGAGAAACGAATCCCGCAGCCCAGTCCCCGCGGCCCCACCCCGCCCGGTACGTACGTGCAGTTTGTTGAGCAGCACGGCATCTGTGGTGCTGTTGGCCCCTGGCTTGGCTGCTTTCCAAAACTGCTTCTGGGCAGAGTAACGGTTCATGGGACACAGCTTGAAGAGGCAATCTAGGGGTGAAAGGAACAAAGCGTGTTACGGAGGAAGGACATAGCCCTGTGATTGGAAAACCTTCCTGTGATGCTTATGGGCTGTTATCAATTGCGTGTGAGCATAATGCACAAAGCACAGGACCCTTCTCAAACCTCCCCTTTGACCTTGAATTCTGAGCACCACCATGTGAGGTTATAGGTGAGGAAACTGAGGTTTCTGGAAACTCAGTCAGTTGTCACACAGCCGGTTAGTGGCAGAGCTGGGACTCACTGCTCCACAGTTGTCGCCTTTCCTTTGTGCTGGACAAACAGGACGAACGTTCTCACTGTGCAATGATACATCCACACCCTTTCGTATGTAAACCCAACCCTCTTCAACCCAACTACATTTAACAAACTACTGCAGCTGCTTATTTGGGGGGACCTGCTAGAACAGTGGTCTCTGGAGACTCGTGTACAAGATGGTTCTCTGGGAGCAGAGCAAAAATACCTGGACCTGATCAGAGTGCCCTTGCCTCTCAGTCTCAGTGCTCCGTGACACCCTCCGGGCTCATGGGACTTTAGACACTGTCCTACGTAGAACCAACCCTCACAAAATGGACTAGTGGTTTCAAAGTCACCCAGATATTAAAAATCATAAACAAAACCATTTTAAAACTTGTCGCTAATGATGAACCTTACCCTAAAACACGTGTGTGCCGTAAGGTACTAGTGGTAACATGGCAATCCTGATTAACAGGATGCTACGTTATTGTTTAATGTTAATCTTTTTCACCAACGTCTACTTGCTTGCTTGTTTTTATAAGGTCTACAATATATTATTAATACAGTAACACTACATACATATAGTTATGTGTATATAACTTTTAAATACACACACATACACACACACAGTTTAGGGGTATATTTGTCTAATTCTTTCATAGGGATATGTCATCCAAAAAGTTTAGAAATAACTGCTCTAAGAAACTAATATTAAAATTGGCACTCCCTGAGACGTTTACATTTCAACATAGTGGGTTTTCCAATGGTAAATATTTATACAGTAAAACTAATAAATTTCAAATGAATACCCAGATTTGAAAAATTGCACCCTGAACATAGATCAGAACTAACTTTACGGAAATTCCATCTACTAACTGGACTCTCTGGTCTTTAAAACATCCCCTTAAAGGACCCTGAACAGGTGAACATCTAGTTACTGTCTTAGCCCAGGGGTCAGCAAGCTTTGAGACAGAAGAGCCACCAGGGGTCAGCAAACTGCGGCTCTTTGGGTACGTACATTTGGCTCTGAAGTAAAATTGAAAATGAAAATAAAACTATCATAGTTTCGTTTATAATATTACTTTAAATTTTCCTTATTTGTAAAAATAAAATCATGGCTCTCGAATAATTTTTAAATTATTGTGAGGGACAGGATTGGCTCTTCCAGGGCTCGGCAAACTTTTGAGATGGAACCTACCCAAAGAGCCGCATGTGTCTCGTGAGCCGCAGTTTGCCGACCCCTGTCTTAGCCAAATAACTATCTCAGTAATAATACAATTTCCTGTCTTGTTAAGCACATGGACACTGGGCCTTCCCTCTAAATGGAATCACCCTTTCTTCTAGTTGGAATAAATTTTTACCAAGTACAGTACTGCACAAATACTGACATTGTTCAGAAAAAAATAAAAGGTTGTTTAATTGTAGAACTAAAAGGTGCTTTTCTCCTTTCTATAACATCCTTCCTCACTACATATTTTTACCTAGTCACAAGCAGTTATAAGGTAAATATAAGACCACTGATATCCATCTTTGTCAAAAACAGAATCCATCTGCTGAATGATTTAGTGCATGTGAACAAGACTATCTATTCTTTAGAGAACAAAGGACATAGCAGGAAACCTATTTAAAGACAGGACTGCTCTCCCACCTCTTGTGAAAGCCACAGCCACTGTCATTGACTACATCCCTGGTGACTTAATGCCATCACTGAGAGACATGGCTTTCTAGCAGTTTGATGTATGTGTGAAGTCCCCACTGACCCCGTGAACACTCACACACAACCATGAGGCCACTGGCCTGCGTTAAACGTCTTATCACTGACAGGACAAAGGGGGGCACCCGGGCTGAGCACGGAGGGCTTCCTTGATAATCACATGACTTACAAAGAGCCTTCAAAACATTTACGTCACCAGTGTTAATATGTGACACAGGACGTACTCGATGGACCAAATGGGATTAACAACTTCAAATCTCATCAATAATAAGACACACGTCATATGATGGCAGCTAAATGGCATGCATTCCAAAACCCAACTGGATTTAAGCTCGTGTGGGGGACAGTCAGGCTATATCCATGATGCCCGGGGACTAACGTGCTGTGGGAAGTACCATCCCGCAGACGGCTCAAGGTGCAGTCGAGTCGAGCACCCTCCTGAACACACAGAAGGGCCCCCCCACAGGCTCAAAACTTCAGATAACTGGACATTCACCTACGGGGAGACTGAACTTAAGCACTGCTAATCCCACCAAAATCCTTGCTATAACTTCCACGCCAACTATTTTCCTTGGGCAGCACAGAGCATTGTAGTGTGCATCAATACATTTACAACCAAACGCCTATGGACACGGAAGAGATGCTAACATACTTGAACCAGCACCAGCTTAGCCTTGCCGATTTGGTCTTGTTTCCTGGTTGCTTAGCAACTGATTCAAGGCGAAAATTAAATTAAGCAATTCAAATGTGATGGTGAAGTTACGATTCAGCAGCTCTGCATTGCCCCTTTCTATCTGGATGGCACAGCGCAGGGCGGAATTACAGTCACATTGGACCCTCATACTGGGTCAAGTATAGCAACATAGAAATCCAGGAAATCCAGTAGAAGAGTAGACACAATGCCCATTTGGGGAAGGGTGTGTGTGTGTGTGCATATATATATGTGTGCATGTACACACGCACTGTGGTTTGATCTCTCTCCAAAGAAATGCCACGAAGATCTAATGTGACAAGTGTTATTTCAAGGCCTTTGAAGAATAAGCTAAAAACTAAGCTTTCAAAAAACTACTTTGGAATATTCCTGAGCTTTAGCAGATGCCACATCGGGCCAGCACAGAAGTTTGCTGAAAAGAGGGGTTAAGTGTTACGAAGCTGAGTGGGGTGACACCGGAAAGGGTGGCCATGGGTGACCGTCCACATTTTAAAAGGCATTCAGAACGCGGCTGGAGGGAGAGCGCTCAGTGGCTCGGTGCATGCAGGAACCATGACAGGCACTGCGGTGTGCAGGTGAGAGAAGACGGAAGTGAGGAGCCACAGGTGTGCTTGGAGCCGTCTGCAGGTCCCAAGGGCAGTGAGAAAGCTAAGACGGTGACCTCAGAGGGGAGCCGCGCAGGGACTAAGTCACAGAGCGAAGGCTGCCTGCCGGGAGAACAGCCCGAAGCCCACCATCTCCACGTCCCTAGGAAGGTGAGCTCTAGAGCATAAGGACCCTGAGGGTGGGCATGTTCGCCTGTTTTGTACCCTCTGGTCTAGGGGAAGAGGGGGGCGCAGTGCTGGTCGGTGAGTGAATCATTTAAACACGGTGTAATCCCTGGGGCCCCAGAGGTGAGGGCACGTATGTCCACTGGAGCCACTGCCAGCTCTAAGCCCTCAGGAGACCATTCGCACATTCCACTGCGATTTGTTCAAGTGCCTATTGTGTGCTAAGCACAGTACCGGGTACTGGAAATAAACAGGGAACCAGGCACAAGTTTCCTAATTACGTCCCAGCAACCGCAAAAAACTAGCTCAACACTCAAGTTGAATTACAGCGAGTGAGAAGTACTAGGCGGCAGGGACTCCATGGTGACACGATGTAGCTGGTGTGTGTGTGTGAGGGGGGGCGGCATTTTACCCCGGCTCCTCGGGAAAGGCATGGCCAGGACTGGCATCCGAAGGGGGGCTGGGAGGAGGAGGAGGGGCCAGCCCTGAGACACCTCTGGGGCGAAGCCTTCCAGGCAGAGGGAGTAGCAAGCAGAAAGGCCCGGGGCTGGAAGGAAACCTTGACATGGTTAAAAACAAGAGACGATGGCTGAAGCGTAGTGCGCACACGTGAGCTTGGGGAGAGGCGGCTTGCCTCCTGTGGGGTCAGCGCTGGGCAGCGACCAGGGCCTGGAGCAGAGAACCTGGGCTGCCCTGTGTGCCCAGGGAGCTTTCTTTGGCGGACGGTGCCTGCTAAGAAAGGGGAGGCTGGGGAGGGGCGGTGTGGGCGAGAGGAGTAAAAACGCAGAATTTCATTTCAGCTATGCTTAGCTTCAAATGCCCGTGCAGCACCCCAGCTGAAACGTCGAGTGGGCCCTCCATCAACCAGCACGCTGGCTCCCCAGAGCAGTCAGCTATTTAAGGAGGTGAGGGGGAGATGGAAGAGGAAGGACGGGGGTGCTGGAGAGGGGAGGAGGGTGGAGGAAGTCAGCATCACAAATACAGTGTAGCTCCCATCTGCCACCAGACAGATCTATCCAAAGCTAGAGAATATGTTCATGGAGGCTGACAAAAGCTTGAACTTGATTCAAAGTTTTCACAGGGGAGAATAAAGACCCTTCCCCCCCCCACACAAAAAAACAACCACCAAGCCAACACAAGGAAAACTGAAAACAAAAAAGCCCAACTCCGTCGTCTAAGAAATTAAACTCCATCTTCCCAAGTTGCAGTAAATGAAGATGGGGCGAGGAAGGCGGGGTGAGACTGGACAGACGGAGGGACGTGAACCTGTGCACCTGCAGAGGGGGTGCCTGTGAGAAGCGGGCCGATTTGCCCCGTGGACCCCGACAAGGCTCAGGAACCCACAATGACACTGCGCAGGGCACGTCGCTGCCCCACCTGGAGCAGGGACACAGGGCTCCAGGGGCTGAGGATGCTAGTGAGGATCGGATGACAGGTCACACACACTATCCGTCCGCGACACGGAGACATACTGAGGCCCTCAGAGGGAGAGAAGATGGTAAATGCTACGGAAGAGCTGAGCAAATAAAGGAAAACAGGGTCAGTGCTAACTCCAGGG